TAGTTTAACGACTTTAAAAAAATGGGTTTTGGCCAAAAAAAGTGGTCAAATTCCCCATAGTGCATTGTTGAGGAAAATCGGGGTGACGGGAAAATCGGGAAAGTCGGGGATGGGTTGAAACGCCTGTCGCCGTTCCCAGACGTCGCTGATTTATAAGCATGGCTCAGACTCAACCAAAGAAAGCGATCACAGAAAGAAAATATTCCTTTCTCTAAAGGCTTTAAACATCTTAAGAAGGTGTCTAAAAGTATGCAGCAAAAATACAATTTTTTACTTTAATTAGGGGTACTTAGCATACTTTTAGGGGTACTTTTAAAAGGTTTTAAGACACTCAATTTTATAAATTTTTTTGCAGATTTCCAAATAGTACTGCCTACTTTCAAGCTGCTTACAAAAAGATTTCAAGTCTCTGGACCTCTGCACCTCCTAAACATTAGCAAGCATTTATTTTCAGTGCATTGTGGGAGGGTAAAATCAGGGGGAAATATGGGAGCCTGGCAGATAAGAGAGATGCAGGCTGGGGGCTTGATGCAAAACCGAAAGCTGAAAGCTGAGGTGCTGCCACGCGAATTTTTTCGATTTTGCATTGCATACTTTTTGGCTGAACGCGTCGGAGAAAGTGGGGAATGCGGAAGAAAGGAAGGAGGGCCGAAAGAGCAGTGAACGTCTCGATTTTTTACTTTGAACACAAATATTGAACGTTTACATTACTACCCCCTGAAGCCCCCTCAACCTCTACTGTTACCCCCCTCAACCCCTTCTACCCTCTTTGAATGCCACGCATGAAAGCGTTGCAAGTCAGCAACGCGAACGAAGAGAAATGGCCAAAACGAGCAAAGCACAACGAAAATGGCAAGCAGCGGCAACAAAAATAATAATAAAAAAAGAAAAACTGGAGTAAAGGAGCCAGTCAAAAGATAGCAATGCACTGAGGAAAAAGTTTAAACTATAGGTAGGTTTTAAAAAAATATTAATGCATACCAAAACATATTCATGATATTCACATAAATATTTGAATTTGGTGATTAATAAATTGCTTGACCTTTATAGAAAACTCTAAGGTTTTGAAAAAATTTTAAAGGTGTCTTAAAACATGTAAAAATATAATTTTTATATTTAGATATTTTTTTTGAAAAGAGTATTTACAAATCAGAACTCAGCTTTTAATTCTTAAATCCATTTAAATTCAAGTGTTTTTCCCCAAGTGTAAGATTGGAGTGCGGAAAGCGAGAACGGAATTGCAAGGGGAAGCGAGACGGAAAAAGGGGGAACGAGAAAGGGACGGGAACAGGGACACCGAGAGAGACAGCAACAGAGGAGCTTACAAGCGCATTTCGATTATTGTTGATGTAATCATAATTTTTCATTTCCAAAGTAAACGATACCAGGCCACGCCTCCTCCTCACCACATCCCACTTGTTCAACGCATAAAGAATCGACGAGAATTAAACGAACTTTTCATTTATTTACACGAAAAGCATGAGAAACGCGTTTAAAACGCGCACCGCGTCGATGATTTAAGTAAACAAACAGCAGGCGAATTGGTAAGGGTAAAGTTGGGCGAAGAAGAGGGTACCCTACTAAAATGTAATGAAATAAAATAAAATATATAAATATAATTTATCATATAAGTCAAGTTATGTACCCTTTCAATAACATTTCTCTTTAAAATAGGGATTTCGATTTTCAAAAATTGTATTTCTTAAAAAGGAAAAGATTTACAAAATATATAAAAGCATTTAAGGAACATTTATAGCGAATTCAATAATTGGTAGCATACTTTTAGGCCCCTCAAAAAGTGATTTGAAAACTTCTGTGCCTACCGATATAGTATTTTTAAAGAAATGTTATAAGATAAAGTAGGAAGCCGCCTATTTATAGGGTAGAATAAAATCCACAACCCAGGGGAGGCGGATGCCAAACGGTGGGCGGGGACAGGATGACAGGGCCAGGCAGAGATTTTCGGTTTGGATCCGACTGTGGTCGCCGTGGGGGTGGTGATTTTGTGGGGGATCTGGGCGTGAAAGAGGAGGGACTGCCGGCTGTCTTGCATCATTAATTACAATTTGAGCTGCACACGCAGAGCGGAGATTCGCGATTCGAGGGAATTCGCAGCGGGAGGGGGAATGAAAAAAGCGAGACAAGCTGCGAATAAAAAAGGCCAGAAGGAGCGTTACATAACCCCAATCCTGGACATTTCGCCCAGGAGCCTACCATATCCTCATACATATATATATTGAACCTACGTATGTCCATATCTCCGACACTCTGTGGCTGTGCTGACATTTTAATTGCACTGCATGACTCCCGTAATTCGCTTAATTAATCAACATTTTTGCGCTTATCAATATCGGAAAGAGTTTTTAAAGGTTTCCGTTCGAGAAAGCGTTGTGAAAAATGGCACAGCCAATTCAGTAATTAGTCTTCTATATTTTGAGAAAGAAATAATAAGAGTTTACCATTTCAGGAATTTTAATATCCATGCATTTTAACTAAACAAGTTTTTTAAAATTTTATAGCTCACTTAAATGATCCTATTGCATTGGTTACATGGCGTATGAGTGATTTATTAGAGCACTGAATTGTATTAAAGTATTGTAAAAATGTCCGATATTTCTGGGACTAAAAACCTCTTTAGGATATCCATTTAATTTCTACATTTTTGTGGATAACTTAAGTATTTGTTGTCATACATGGCGTATGAGTGATATTTCGCAAGGAACTCAAGTGCTCCAAGTTCCTGTTTTTTCTTCAAGTAATTTACACAACCCCTTTTGATTTATGATTAATTCAAAAACCTTTTTCGACTATTAATACGTGTGATATTTCTTAAGAATCTATAAAAATAATGTTCCAAATTCTCGAATTTCCTCCAAGAAATTTAGCTAACCCCTTGTGATTTTGGGCCATTGTGTTGGGGCTGCTTAACTAAATGCGTAAACTAGCATCGTTGCCCACATCAGCTGAGCCATAAAATCCGCACACAAAGGCATTTGCGGATTGCATGTGGGTCAAAGTTTAGGAGGCGAAGGAGCCACGGTAATTTTGCAGTAATTGAAACCATCAAAGTGTGAGAGGGACCGGCAATTAGGGGCCGTGCGATAATATTAATGTGGAGGCGGTCAGCATTGTTGGGGTCTCGGTCTTATCGCAAATGCGGCGAATATTATCTGCGATAATGAGAAAACTAATTGTGAGCTATGCAAATGTGGCAGCACTAGATGCACCTTGCTATCCATGTGTGTGTGTGTCACAGGTGTGTGTATTTGTGTGTGTGTGGCCGGAATTACCAACACTGTTCAAGTGTGAAAGCAATTAGATTTCATAGTTTATCGGGTTCATTTGAATAAACGGAAATTGCAGACGCCACAAACCAAAAGATTGCAAAAAATCGCCAACATCTTGAAATCACAAATAATCCAATGTGATTCTAAAAAATATTTACTAATTTTTATTCACAACACTTTTAGCTACAGAAAGGACTAATTAGAGTTATTTAAGGGATCTTAAAACATTTATTTATGGTAGGTATACTAAAAACGAAAATTGTAAAAGTTAATGTCTAGATATTGCAGTATTGTGTTAAATAATAAAATTAAATGTAAAAGCTTTTAAGAAACTACTTAGAAATACGCACTAAATACCTATAAAATTTTAAATTAAATTTTATATTTGTTTTAACACAATATACATATAACAAAATATTTATAAGTTTAGTCACGTATTTGCTTTTCCATGTTTTCGAAATGTGAACTACAGGAAAGAAAACCGCAATTTTGATTAAATCTTTGGAAGTAAAAGAAAGAAAGAAAAGGTAAAAATTCCGCTAATTGTCTAGGTTTTTTTTCGTATCTTTCCATCTTCCATTTTCCTTTCATTGGTGTGGTATTTTTTTCAAGACCCGCAGTTTTGACAGCTTGTTACATAACCTCAATCTGACACTCTCCTTATTGCCTTTCTCTTCGGCGCAGCATCACCGTTATTTGTGTAATTTGCAGTTCAATTACCTCGCTAATATGAGATGTCCACTCCAATTGCTTTCCCCCTCTAAGCCATAGGGACATGTATGTACAATATATCCCCCCTTTTCCGCTTGTAACTCGAATTCGTTAATTATTTTGACAGTCGGCCATGTTGACAGCCGCAAAAGTCAACGGGATGAGAGAAACAGATATGCTTTTAAAGAAAGTCGAACAGAAAATACTCTTGGAAAAATACATTATTATTATTTATTTAAGGGCAAATCAATAAATCTAAAATTTATAAAAAAAAATTAAAAGAAAGTGGACTTTAAAATTAAATTTTTTAAGGATATATCCAAAAAGATAAATAAAATTTATAAATAAAATAAAAAAAAACATATAAATATTTTAAAAAATATTTAGTTTCTTTTTTTATTACCTTTAAATTTTCAAATTGCCTTTTTAAATCCATATAATATATTTCCCAAAAAGTTGAGAAGATTTAAAAATTGTGCCTCTGCTGTGCGAACCTGTTGAGTAAGTAGAGTGTCCTTCGTCAATGTGGAGACTTGAGAGGTCCTGTTGTGGCCACATGAAACTTGCATGAGGTCCTGTCGTCCGCCCACTCCGTAAGTTGTGTGCGGCAGCCACAGCCATTTTGGCCAACCACTGATTATGCCACATCCGAAATGGACATGTCAAATTAGCCGGGACATATAAACAAGAACATTTCGAACTTTAACGTCGGCCTATAAAACATAGCATAACCAAAACAAATATAAAGTGCGTAATAACTTGGGAAAAGTTCGCAATTCCAATTATTACATTTTTGTAATATTATAGATCCGCTGCAAAACGGCTTTCTATTTTTTAAAAATTTGATAATATTTATAAAAACCATGAAAACTATTTATAAAAATCATTTAAAAATCAAAACAATTTCTTTAAGAAGTATTTCGAAGCTTTAAGCAATAAAATGCAACTTATGAGCCTTCCTGCAGCCACAAAATAAACAACAATGGCCAAGATTTTCAATACAATGGTTATTTAATCAACACGCTTAAAGCTATTTACACAGATCGAGGGGTTTTAAGTTGGGGCCCGGCAATGGGGGGCCTTTGCAGCAGTTCCCAGAGCAGCCAGCCGAGGATGAGGCCGTAGGCCAGCCAGCCGAGGAGCAGCCGCCGATGCCGCCACTAGATGATGGAGATGTCATCCTTGTGCCCGCTGCTATTCTCTCCGTTGGCGATGAAGTCGCGCCGCCAGGCATTCCAGTTCGGATCGGGATGATCCTTGAGCAGGCTCCAGTTGGGCGACGGTGCGTCCGGCGAGAGCCAATTGAAGTCGGCCACATCCGTGTAGTTATTCTGGGATTTATTGAGCCCGGAGGCCAGGTAGTCGGCCTCCAGCTGCGCATAGTCGTAGTTGAACTCGCCGATCTCGATGGCGCGGCAATCCTCGACGATGGCGCGGCAGGTGACATGCAGGTAGATGCGGATGCCGTGCGAGGAGTGCAGCCGCAGCTGCTGGCAGGCCACCGCCAGGGTGCAGTCGTCCAAATGCTCGGCGAAGAAGGAGCGGGCGATGGGGCCGCAGAGCAGGGTGCATTTGGAGGCGCGGGAAACCTGCACGGAGCCGGGATGTCCCTGCAGTTCCACCAGACAGTGGCTGACATTCGAAATGGTGATGTCCTGGCCGTTGACCTGCCGCGAATCCAGGACTATGTGCTCGCCCTTGCGGTTGGCAATGGTCCAGCTGAAGGAGGAGCCTAGGTTTTCCTTCGCCTTACTAATCTCCGCATCGACTAGGTCCTTGTTAGCCAAGGGTTTCTGCTTGGCAGCCGTCTTCTTGCCACTGAAACCGAACTTCTTCTTGGGCAGCAGCCGCTGGCGGGTCTCATCGCTCACAGAAGTGAGGGTATTGAGGATATTCTGACAGGATTTGATCTTGAAATCCGAGAGGAACATGGTGGAAGCTGTGAGATAGCGCTGCAAATCCTGAATCTCCAGCGTTATGTCCGCGAAATGCCTGGCCAAATCGGTGGGCGGGGCCTCGCCGCACTGCAGATCCTTCAGTCGCCGCTCTATATCGATGGTTCTTTGGGTGAAAGTCGCGGAAAAGTAGTCGACGCCCTCGTTTTGCACCGACTCCTTGGAGCGCTGCTCCGACTTCACGTCCAAATAGTTCTGCCTGTCCTTGTTCCGCTTGTTCAGGCGCTCCAGGATTTGATCCTTGCGATTTTCCGAATCGCCCTCCATCTTTCCCTCAGTCAATCTGCAAGGGAAAATCTGGTTAAAAATCAATTTCCCAAGGGGAAACTTCGATTTCTTTGGGCTATGAATCACCTTTGTTGTTGTTCTTGCTCGGCAAGTTGCGCAGCTGCAGGAAAATTCAGCGGAATCCTGGCTTTCCCTCTGGTGACTTCACTGCTGCTTGCTAATTTGGTTGTGCTTATCACGAAATATTTAAGGTTTTCCTGTGTTTATTAACCTTTTTGTTTAATTTTCCATTTAATTTGTGCAGTTGTCGCCCACAATAACAAATGTCGACTAACCAAGGCGAATGGCAAGGGAATGACAAAAATACAACACTCTGGCAACGCCAAAGTGAATGGCTAATGTGGAAAGAAGAAGCGGTGCGCGCCAAATTTGAAATCGGGATAAGGAAATAACTTTAATTGTCGTAAAAACTAACAAAAATAATAGATATAAAGAATTTACTTATCGTAAACAAACCATTTTTATTTGTTTATTCCGTTTTTGGGTAAATTTTTAAAAATTTTGTTTGTGTTTTCATTACATAAATAATTTATTTGTTTATATTTTTATTAATAACTCCTCTAAATTATGAGGGATGTCCCTGCAGTTCCACCAGACAGTGGCTGACATTCGAAATGGTGATGTCCTGGCCGTTGACCTGCCGCGAATCCAGGACTATGTGCTCGCCCTTGCGGTTGGCAATGGTCCAGCTGAAGGAGGAGCCTAGGTTTTCCTTCGCCTTACTAATCTCCGCATCGACTAGGTCCTTGTTAGCCAAGGGTTTCTGCTTGGCAGCCGTCTTCTTGCCACTGAAACCGAACTTCTTCTTGGGCAGCAGCCGCTGGCGGGTCTCATCGCTCACAGAAGTGAGGGTATTGAGGATATTCTGACAGGATTTGATCTTGAAATCCGAGAGGAACATGGTGGAAGCTGTGAGATAGCGCTGCAAATCCTGAATCTCCAGCGTTATGTCCGCGAAATGCCTGGCCAAATCGGTGGGCGGGGCCTCGCCGCACTGCAGATCCTTCAGTCGCCGCTCTATATCGATGGTTCTTTGGGTGAAAGTCGCGGAAAAGTAGTCGACGCCCTCGTTTTGCACCGACTCCTTGGAGCGCTGCTCCGACTTCACGTCCAAATAGTTCTGCCTGTCCTTGTTCCGCTTGTTCAGGCGCTCCAGGATTTGATCCTTGCGATTTTCCGAATCGCCCTCCATCTTTCCCTCAGTCAATCTGCAAGGGAAAATCTGGTTAAAAATCAATTTCCCAAGGGGAAACTTCGATTTCTTTGGGCTATGAATCACCTTTGTTGTTGTTCTTGCTCGGCAAGTTGCGCAGCTGCAGGAAAATTCAGCGGAATCCTGGCTTTCCCTCTGGTGACTTCACTGCTGCTTGCTAATTTGGTTGTGCTTATCACGAAATATTTAAGGTTTTCCTGTGTTTATTAACCTTTTTGTTTAATTTTCCATTTAATTTGTGCAGTTGTCGCCCACAATAACAAATGTCGACTAACCAAGGCGAATGGCAAGGGAATGACAAAAATACAACACTCTGGCAACGCCAAAGTGAATGGCTAATGTGGAAAGAAGAAGCGGTGCGCGCCAAATTTGAAATCGGGATAAGGAAATAACTTTAATTGTCGTAAAAACTAACAAAAATAATAGATATAAAGAATTTACTTATCGTAAACAAACCATTTTTATTTGTTTATTCCGTTTTTGGGTAAATTTTTAAAAATTTTGTTTGTGTTTTCATTACATAAATAATTTATTTGTTTATATTTTTATTAATAACTCCTCTAAATTATGAGTAAAGAGAGTCGTTTTGATATGCCCATATGAGCAACAAAAAAGATAAACAAGCAAAAGTCCCGCGAAAAGGCAAGATATCCAGACTCTTGATTATAGCCATTGTGCGACTTAAATAAATGCCTCGTTCTTATCGAGTTAAAAGTGCTTTGAAAGTAAATAAATAAATTGAGAATCAGTACGTTTGAATTTCTCTCTTCGTGCGGTTGTAAGCCTTCACTATGTTTAAGATCGGAACTTATACTCTGTATTTATTGATTGCATGGCATCTCTGTGAAGGCCAATCGGAATCCCAGGAAGATGTTCGATCTGTATGCCTTCTGAAAGATCCCCCCAATCAGTGCGGGGAATTTTGCCTTTCGGTGCTGGAACCCCTCTTGAATCACATTGCCAAGCACCAGGAGCAATGGAACACCTCCGATGCCCTCAAACTAAACGACACCCAAGCCAAACTGGACCGAATTCAGACCAAATTGGAGGGACAAACCGTATCCCTGGAGGATTCGTTGAAGAAAGTACTGCCACAGGACTTTCAGGAGAGACTAACCAGAATGGAAGCTCACCAGACGGACATTCAAAAGGCAATGGGATCCCAGCTGGAAGTGCAGATCAATCTGGAAAAGGAGCAAAAGTCCCTGATGGAAACTTTTAAGAATACCATACCGGAGAACTTTAACGAGACGCTGGGAAAACTGAAAGAACAGCATATATCTTTACAAGAAACACTAAAGAAAATTCCAGTTGATTTGGAGGAGAAACTAAACCGTGTGGAGGATCATCAAAAGGCAGTTGGGACTCAATTAGAAACTCAGATCAACTTGGCAAAGGATCAGAAATCCCAGCTGGAAGCTTTAAATAAATCCATACCAAAAAACTTCGAAGAAAGGCTGATCAAGATGGAGGAACAGCAAACATCGCTACACGAAGCTATAAAGAAAATTCCAGAAGACTTCGAAAGCAGATTGCAAACGATGGAAAAAAATCAGAAGGATATTCAGAGCAAGATGGAGACTCAACAGGTCAAAATTATGGACACTCTCACCGAAATATACGGAAAGGTCTTTTGGCCCAAGTTTGAGCGAATCGGCTCGAGACTTTTATATATAGATCGTCAAAATGCATACCCCTGGATTACGGCCGTCAGCACTTGCCGTGAAATGAATGGCTATCTAGCCGCCATTAAAGATCAGGAGGAACTGGACATCATCAAGGCAAAACTGGGTGACAAGCACTACTGGCTGGGCATCAACGATCGCGCATCCAAGGGAGCCTACAAATCCGAGGCATCCGGAAGAGAAGCTGTATTTATAAAGTGGAAATCGGGGGAACCCAATCACGCTGGACCCGAAGAACGCTGCGTTGAATTGGCTAATGGCGAAATGAACGATGACCCGTGTTCCGCTAAGAAATATATAATTTGCCAAACTAACTCAGATTTTTAGCTTTATTTTTTAAAAACATTAAATGCAACTCAGAAATATTCTTCTGCGAAAAATATACAAAATATATATGGCTGACATAGAAATATCTTAGGGTGGAATTCTATTATTTTTAAAATCACCTAATCGCCAATTATTATGGATTGTATGTCAGGGGAAATTACTGCTCACTCGCTTTTTTTTCAGGCCTACTTTTTTATCTTTTGTGAAAGTGCTATTTTAAAAGATATTTTAGGTTTATGAGACGAACATAAATACGGTTTATTTTGCTGAAGAGCAATCAGTTCGTTGGCACCGTTCGCCACTAGTTGTTATACGTGCCCAATATGTTAAAACTAGGAATTTATTTGTCCGTCGCGCTTTTTGCCTGTACTCTATTTGTGGTCCAGGCTAAATCCTTGCAAGGTAATTGTGAAATACGTAGGAAATCAAAAGATTTTAAATTTAATATTTTATAAATATTTTTCGATGGTGGTTTTATAATTTTAAATGTGATTTTGGTTTTTTTTTGCCTAAACAAAATATTTAAAGTAAATAACTTAACTTAAATCTGTAGTGAGAATCTTTGAATCTAATGTTACTAAGCCTCCTTTCTGTGTTTCCCTTGGAAAATATTAAACAATCCTTCCAGATGACAACAAGGAGAGACTAAAAAGGATAGAGGATCAGCAGGCGGATATCCATCAATCAGAATTGGGCACTTATTCCGAATTTTCCACAAAGGCCTCCTGGCCGAATTTTAAGCAAATCGGTTCTAGGTATTTCTACATCGATAGCAGTAGTAAATACACTTGGGAAGAAGCCGTAAGTGCCTGCCGCGATTTGGGTGGCTGTATAGCCGCCATTAAAGATCAAGAGGAATTGGATGCCATCGCAGAGGAACTCGATGCCAAGCGATATTGGTTAGGCATAAATGATCGGACCAGATGGGGCGACTACGTATCCGAGGCATCTGGAAAGAAAGCCTTTTTGAAGTGGCAACGGGCAGAACCCAACAACGAGGGCAACAATGAGCGCTGCATTGAACTTTTAAACGCCGAAATGAACGATTTGCCGTGCTCCTATAAGTTGAACATAATTTGCCAAGCTGACAACAATGTATAACGAAAAAACTGAAATCGCATAAATTTAGTTATAGGCTTGTGTAGTTTTTGAATTCCCAGAATTAAACCTAAATAGAATATTGTGAATTGGTTTTTGTTAATTTTTGTGAAAGCGCTGCTATGAATTTTTATTATTTCTTGGAATGCCCGCATATATTTATATTTCTGTATATATGTACTTATTGTTGTTTTAATAAATAATCTTTTAAACAATATTCAAAATATATGCACTGACACAGAAGCGTCTTCGCTTGGAATTCTTTTTCGTACATCAATACAAACGATTCAAATCACACGAGTTTCATCCGGAGAGATTTATGTGTCACCCCCGTGTGAGAATTTATTTTATCGCCAACTTTCTGTTGGAAGAAATTTAAACTAAATTAAACTAATTGTAATAACCTAAAAAATATATATTTATTCAATTGTTTTAAATACATTTTTTTATTAAGTAAAAATAAGAAGTTTTTCTCAATCTTTTTGCTTGAGGTTTTTTTGGTCTACTTTAATGTATGTATCTTTTATAAGAATCGTGTTATTTTTTAAAATTAAAAATCTTATGTTTAATTTTAAATAAAAATATTAACTATTTTAATTTTATCACAAAAAATTAATTCCTGAGTAATTCGTATGTATTATTGATTATAAAAAAAAAACATTTTAATATTTAATTTGAATTATTAATAAATATCCTTAACTACTACATTAATTTTAGAACAATTTAATTATTTTGTATACCTATATTTTTTGTATAATATTCTATTAGTATATATTATATACTAAATATTTATATATGTAACAACCATATATATGACGAGGAGTTTAATGATTTGTAAAGTCTTTTAATTCTCTAATAAATTGCACAAATTTGTTTTCTCTGTTTAATTTATTAAATAGTACTTTTTATAGTCGCTGTCTGTCATTTCGGGCAGAATTTAATTTATGAATCTATTCCAAGAAGCGTGCTATAAAGATATTTTCAAATACGAGACACGCATGTATATAAGACAAGAATAAATGCGGTGTATTCTATTGAAGAACAATCAGTTCGTTGGCGCCGTTCGCCACTAGTTGTTATAAGCGCTCAGTATGTTACAATTAGGAATTTATTTATCGATCGCGATTATTGCCTGTTCTCTTTATGGGGCCCAGGGAAAATCCTTGGAAGGCGACATTTCTACAATTGTACGGCAAACACCGCCGAATGATCTGTTATTAAACATGTTACCATTGCTGGATCACATTGCTAAGCAGAGCAAATGCAATATTGCTGATGATCTACACAAAACCCACATGGCGACGCAGAGTAAGATCGGAATACAGTATGCATTTTTCCTGAATACTATATTTTAAAAATCCAATCCTTTCAGAGGACAACGAGGAAAAACTAATCGCGATGCAAAGTCAACAAGCGGACATCCAGAAGTCATTGGAATCGCAACTGGAAACACAGATTAATCTGAAAAAGGATCAGAGGTCCTTAATGGAAACTCTTAAGAAGATGGAGACCCAACAGGCCGCCCTTGTGGGCACTCTTTCCGAAATTTACACAAAAGTCTTCTGGCCGAAGTTTAAGCAAATCGGTTCTAGGCTTTTCTACATCGATAGCAGCAGCAAATATACTTGGGAAGGAGCCGTAAAAGCCTGCCGCCAATTGGGTGGCTATATAGCCGCCATTAGAGATCAAGAGGAACTGGATGCCATCACAGAGGAACTCGATGACAAGCGATATTGGTTAGGCATAAATGATCGGACCGAATGGGGCGATTACGTATCCGAGGCATCCGGCAAGAATGATCCATTTTTGAAGTGGCGACATGGTGAACCCAACAAGCAGGAAGATAATGAGCACTGCGTCGAAATCGATAACAGCGTAATGAATGATGAGCCGTGTTCCATGACTCGACATTTAATTTGCCAAAGTGATAAAGAAGTTTAGATAAATAAACTTTGTAAATTAATTCCAGAATGCCAAACGGAAATATTTAATAATGTTTTAAAAAGTTTAAGAATAAAACATATTTTTGTGAAAAGATGAAAAGTGAGTATTTCAATTATTAAACAGAAAAATATTGTTATGAAATGGCACTCAATTCAACATTATTTCATATAAAAAAACCGATATTAATAAATGCAACATTGATATTTCGAACATATCAAGCTAATATATTTTTACATTAATTCAATCTTGTGATGGATAATTTTTAACATAACTTTAGACCTTTTTATATTTTCTCATGTATGTATATTAGCACCCTGCTAGTAAAACAAAATTATTATTTTATATTAAAACAATTTAGTTAATTACATTTTTCAAACAATTAGTTGACACCAGCATATTTGCAAATTTTTTGTTTTTCTAGTACTTTCTTATGCGTTTTAAAAAGTTGACAAACTGTACTTATTCCATTCAGAGAATGCACATTAAAATTAATAAATATAATTTTTTCCACACGCTTTCAGTACATTTAATGAAAATATATATATTTTAAATACCATTTTGAGAATTTTAGTATTTTTATTTGTTTAAATTCTACAAAAATTAGCATTGCTTAGCATTTTCTTAAAGTTAAAAATCAAAGTTAGCTTGGCAAATCAAATATTTCTCCTTGCCGCACGGCTCATCGTACATTACGCCATTGATAAGTTGAACGCAGCGCTCTTCGCGTGCAGCGTGATTGGGTTCCCCCCCCTCCCACTTCAAAAATGGAGATTTCTTTCCGGATGCCACCGAAATGTAGTCATTCTTTGTGGCCCGATCATTGATGCCCAGCCAGTATAGTTTGTCTAAATCCAGCCTCGCCTTCATGGCATTCAACTCCTCTTGGTCCTTAATGGAGGCCAAATAGCCACCCATTTTGCGGCAGGCATCTACGGCTCCTTCCCAAGTGTACTTATTTTCGCTATCAATAAAGAAATGTCTAGAGGCGATTCGCTCAAACTTTGTCAAAAAGATTTTGTCATAAATTTTGGAAAGAGTGTCCACAAGTGCGGCCTGTTGAGTCCGCACAGCCTTCTGATTGTTTTCCATCGTTTGCAGTCTCCCCTGTAAATCCTTTGGAATTTTCTTTAATGCTTTCTGTAAGGATGTTTGCTGTTCCTCCATCTTGGCCAGTCTCTCCGTAAAATGTTCGGGGATAATATTCTTTAAAGTTTCCATTAAGGACCTCTGATCCTTTTCCAGATTTGTCTGTGTTTCCAGTTGCGATTCCAATGACTTCTGGATGTCCGCCTGTTGATTTTGCAACGCGATTAGATTTTCATCGCTGTTCTCTGAAAGGATTTGATTTTTAAAATATAATATTTCAGAAAAAATTCCTAATGTATTTCGATCTTACTCTGCATTGCTATCTGGGTTAGATCATCAAGAATATTCAATTTGCTCTGTTTGGTAATGTGATCCAGCAATGGTAGTATCTTTACAACTAATGGATTCGGTGGTGTTTCCGAAAAGTCGCCATTCAAGGATTTTGTCTGGTATCCATTTAAATTCAAGGCAATAATTGCGATCGAATAATAAATTCCTAGTTTGAACATACTTAGTGCGTATAACAACTAGTGTCGAACTGAATAATACTTTGATCGTGTGCTTTAAAAAAATGGAGCGAACAGAAATAATGTCGTCTTCATTTGTTGAGTTACTGTTTCGAACTGATTTCTGTATTACTATTCAACTCTTACGTACCTAACATGAGAATCTGATTTTACTCTAGCTAAAATTATCTTATGACTCTCGCACATTCCTACTTATCCTTGGGTTTTTCAAGTGCACATCTGCTACGGCTTATGCGCCTAGGATACCTGACCCTTCTCAGGTCAAAAGGTAAAGAGAGGTTGGGCAAAATTAAATACCTAAGTAAGGTATTTTTGGAGAGAAAAAACGGAGCATTCGGTAAAAGTTATGACCAGATAATGAATTTCAAGCATGCTGCATGCTGCATGCTGCATGTTAAAGTTTTTTAAAAGATACACTCTTTTTCTTTAAAACCCCATACTTAAAATAATTTTAGGATTTTTTTTAAGCAGAAATAAATTCCAAACAAGAAAGGAAGCTAGCTTCGGCCAGCCGAAGCTTATATACCCTTGCAGATCATTCCTATTAATTAAAAAATCGCAAAAATGTTCAATTTTCTAATATTTCTCATTAATTTTCCGATCGTTCCTATGGCAGCTATATGATATAGTCGTCCGATTTTGATCAAATTAAAATTGAAATTCGGAAATATTTAAAAAGAGTCATATCCTAGAGTAGAAGATAATACAATAAAAACCAAAGAAGCTAGAATTTATTTCCTATTACCTTTCCATTAATTTTCCGATCGTTCCTATGGCAGCTATATGATATAGTAGTCCGATTTTTTAAATAATTAATTCGAAATTCAGAAATATTTAAAAAATAACATCTCCAAAAGTAGAAGGTAATATTTCAAAAAACACCGAAGCTAGAATTTTTTTAAGTTTTTTTTTCCGATCCTTCCTATGGGAGCTATAAGATATAGTTGTCCGATCCGGTCGGCTCCGACATATATACTACCTGCAATAGAAAGAAGACTTTTGGGAAAGTTTCATCCCGATAGCTCAAAAACTGAGAGACTAGTTTGCGTAGAAACAGACAGACGGACAGACGGACAGACGGTCAGACGGACAGACGGACATGGCTAAATCGACTCGTCTAGTGATGCTGATCAAGAATATATATACTTTATGGGGTCGGAAACGTCTCCTTCACTGCGTTGCAAACTTCTGACTGAAATCATAATACCCTCTGCAAGGGTATAAAAACATAGTCAAACAAGAAAGGAAGCTAGCTTCGGCCAGCCGAAGCTTATATACCCTTGCAGATCATTCCTATTAATTAACAAATTGCAAAAATGTTAATTTTCTAATATTTCTCATTAATTTTCCGATCGTTCCTATGGCAGCTATATGATATAGTCGTCCGATTTTGATCAAATTAAAATTGAAATTCGGAAATATTTAAAAAGAGTCATATCCTAGAGTAGAAGATAATACAATAAAAATCAAAGAAGCTAGAATTTATTTCCTATTACTTTTCCATTAATTTTCCGATCGCTCCTATGGCAGCTATATGATATAGTAGTCCGATTTTTTAAATAATTAATTCGAAATTCAGAAATATTTAAAAAATAACATCCCCAAAAGTAGAAGGTAATATTTCAAAAAACACCGAAGCTAGAATTTTTTAAAGTTTTTTTTTTCCGATCCTTCCTATGGGAGCTATAAGATATAGTTGTCCGATCCGGACGGCTCCGACATATATACTACCTGCAATAGAAAGAAGACTTTTGCGAAAGTTTCGTCCCGATAGCTCAAAAACTGAGAGACTAGTTTGCGTAGAAACAGACAGACGGACAGACGGACGGACAGACGGACAGACGGACATGGCTAGATCGACTCGTCTTGTGATGCTGATCAAGAATATATATATTTATGGGGTCGGAAACGTCTCCTTCACTGCGTTGCAAACTTCTGACTGAAATCATAATACCCTCTGCAAGGGTATAAAAACTGAAAAACATACAGCTGCGGTCAAAAAAGTAGTAGTGTTGCCGCCCTGTGTATTTAAAAGTTTGTTGTTGTAATTGATCTGTTCCTGGTAATATTGTATTGATTATAATTTTACTATTAGACTAATAGGATAAAATTAAGTTACAACATCAAACTTTTAAAAACACAAGGCCGCAGCTGTATGTTTTTCAGTTTTTTGACTATGTATTTTAAAATTTATTTCTGCCTTAAAAAAAATCATTAAATTATTTAAAGTATGGGGTTTGAAAGATAAATGGTGTATCTTTTAAAAAACTTTAACATCGAATCAAACCATGCATCCATTTGCCTCTAAGAGCTCCGCAAAATTGGTCATTTTTCGAACTTTGAGGTCCTTTTGCTAAGAATCCTTGCGTCGAAAAACTCTTTGGAAAACGCAGTTTAACTTGGGAATTCGTAACGAATCAAAAAATATAGCATCCATCGAGGTAGAAACTACACTATGCATAGTTTAAAATGATTAATTTTGACTTACGAAGTTTTGTTATCAGTTTGAAATTATTTTAGGTTGTAGACTGGAAAATAAGTCCTACTGGCTGAGCATTAACGATCGAACCTCAGAGAATGACTACATTTCCGTGGCGTCCGGAAAGAAAGCTCAATTCCAAAGAATATCGTAGTCAATGCTATTTTGTGTAGAATTTAAACAAATAATAATAAAATTCTCTGAATGTTTTGTTTTTTTTTCAAAGAATTTACATTAAAGGTGGTCTTTAAGTCCAACGAATGCGATTAAAATGTTTTTTCATAAAATAAAAAGTGCCTTGAATTCTCAGAATTTGACTTTTTCTTACGTTTTCGTGATCTAGGGCTCCAGCACTAACAGAATTTTCAATCAATTTTGGCTGTAAACTAGTGTAATCGAAAAAATAATATAACAAATTTTGTATAATATACGTTTGTAGGAAGGTGGCCTTTTTGATTTTTGACAATTTAAAAATAACATTTTAAATAGGCAATAATATATCTGGAATCCCTGGAAATGCACCTATATACTGGGAAATGAAATAATTCTACCCTACCTAGGCATTTATTTTGCCCAATACCGTTACCTTACCTTAAGTATTTTATAAGAAGCTCATAAAATAAATCCTAGACAGATGGCCACTTGAAAAACCCACAGTTAAACAGGTATGTCCGCGTGGGTCGTAAGATAATCTTATCTTCATATATTGTAACCCGAACATGGGTTGACCTGAGAAGGGTCAGATATCCTAGGCCCACAAGCTAAAGCCAATTTGGACCTGAAAAACCCAAAGATAAATAGGAATGTGATACGTGACAAAACTGAAAGATATTTTAGATAAATAAGACGAACATAAATACTGTTAATTCAGCTGAAGAACAATCAGTTCGTTTGCGCCCTTTGCCACTAATTGTTATACGCGATCAGTATGTTGAGACTGGGCATTTATTGGTCCATCGCGATTATTGCCTGTACTCTATGTTGGGTGCAGGCAAAACCTTTGGAAGGCGAAAGTTCTAGGACGCAGGGTAAGATCGAAATACATGAATTTTTTCTGAAGTATTATATTTTAAAAATCAAATCCTTTCAGAGAACAGCGAGGAAAAAATAATCGCGTTGCAAAATCAACAGGCGGACATCCAGAAGACATTGGAATCGCAACTAGAAACACAGACCAATCTGGAAAAGGATCAGAGGTCCTTAATGGAAACTTTTAAGAAAATCATCCCCGAAAATTATACGGAGAAGCTGGCCAAAATGGAAGAACAGCAAACATCCTTACAGGAAACTCTTAACAAAATTTCATTTGACTTGGAAACTTTAAAGAAAATTCCTCTTGGCTTTGAGGAGAGACTTAGCCAGATGGAGGATCACCAAAAGGCAGTTGGGAGTCAATTAGAAACTCAGATCAACTTGGCAAAGGATCAGAAATCCCATCTGGAAGCCTTAAATAAATCCATACCAGAAAGGCTGATCCAGATGGAGGAACAGCTAACATCATTACAGAAAACGTTAACGTTAATTCCAGAGGACTTCGAAAGCAGACTGGAAACGATAGAAACAAATACGAAGGATATTCTGAGCAAGATGGAGATTCAACAAGTCAAAAAAATTTTGGACACTCTCAAAAATCAACTATTTACAAAGCAATTAATCGCATTGCAAAATCAACAGGCGGACATCCAGAAGTCATTGGGATCACAACTGGAAACACAGAGCAATCTGGAAAAGGATCAGAGGTCCCTAATGGAAACTATAAAGAATATTATCCCCAAACACTTTACGGAGAGACTGGCCAAGATGGAAGAACAGCAAACATCCTTCCAGGAAACATTTAAGAAAATTCCAGAGGACTTTGAGGGCAGTTTGCAAACGTTGGAAAATAATCAGAAGACTGTGCAGACTCAACAGGCCGCACTTGTGGACACTCTTTCCCAAATTTATGACAAAATCTTCTGGCCAAAGTTTGAGCGAATCGGCTCTAGACTCTTCTTTATCGATCGGGAAAAGGTGTACACTTGGGAAGGAGCCGTGAGCGCCTGCCGCGAAATGGGTGGCTATTTGGCATCCATTAAGGACCAAGAGGAACTGGACGCCATAAAGGCGAAGCTGTATGACAAGCACTACTGGTTGGGCATCAACGATCGGAACACATGGAATGAATACATTTCAGTGGCATCCGGAAAGAAAGCTCAATTTTTGAAGTGGAAATGGGGGGAACCCAATCACTCTGAATTCGAAGAGCGCTGCGTCGAACTGTTCAATGGCGAAATGAACGATGATAGGTGTCACAAAGGGAAATTTATGATTTGCCAAACTAACTTTGATTTTTAGTTTTAAGAAAATCGTAGTCAGTGCTATTTTTTGTAGAATTTAAACAAATAACAAGAGAGAACGCTATAGTCGGGTGACTATCAGATACATGTTACTCAGGTAAAGGGAGTGCGAGGGAGATGGAGATAGAAAACTTTGATCACGCATAACTTTTAAACGAATGGTCCGATTTGAAAAATTTCTTCTACATTTCGATATATACTTATAGGGTCGGAAATGCTTCCTTCTAGCTGTTACATACTTTTGCACGAATACAATATACCCTTTTACTCTAAGAGTAACGGGTATAAAAATACTAAAATTCTCAATACGGCATCTAAATAATAAATTGTAGTTTGGTTTTTATTAAAAAAAATCAATCTTTAATCTTTATGTGAATTCTCTAAATGGAGTACACAAAAACTGGACAGATCCGCGACATCCGGCAAGGGTGATCCATTTTTCAAGTGGAGACATAATGAACCCAACAAGCTAAATAACAGTGAGCACTGCGTCGAGAAATGTTCCATGAGTCTATATTTAATTTGCCAAAATGATACAGAAGTTTAAATAAGTAAAATATTCCCACATATATGTACTTATTGCTGTTTTGCTTGTTAAGACTTTAAATTTGAGGCGACCATGAAGTTGCCCGAACAGATTGATTGAGTTCTTCGAATGTTATCATTTAATTTCACTGTAATCGCGTTTCCAAGTAACAGATTTTGTGTAAAATTGTTGTACTGTGCGCATGTACGCTTGGAAAACCTATATAAAAAGTCGGCGAATATATACTCCAAATCAGTTTTCTGGCCTCATCTGCCTTCCGTGGTTCTGAGCTCACGAAATGCACAACTTCGCTGCATTTTTTCTCTACGCCTTTGTTGCGTGCAATCTATACGGATTAGGTAAATCCCAATCACAGGATGATACTGGCTCCGTTTATATCCTGAAGGATGATCCATCCCGAGAGCTCCAACCTCTGCCGAATAGTATTCAATTCCTCCAGAAGCAATTAAAGTTACAAATTACAACACAGAAAACAACACTGGCGATTCTGGACACCATGCAAAAAAATACCCAGGAGAAACTAGAAGCCATTCAAAGGGAAGTGCTTAAGAGTCTTGATCAAATTAGAGGCGAAACAAATGAAAGGCTGATCCAGATCCAAAATCAACAGGCGGACATCCAGATGTCAATCAAGGCCTTGATGGAGAGAAGGCAGGCGGAGACTGCGCCACCGAAAGTGGTCATCATCCCACCAGGATTTGAGAAAATAGGATCCAGATACTTCTATATTGAAGAAGAAGTTAGCAAAAATTGGACTGATGCTCAACTATTCTGTCGAGAAAAGGGAGCTTACTTGGCTGCTATCCAAGATCAAAAGGAATTCAAAGACGTGACATTGAAACTCCAGAAGGACAATCGCTACTGGCTGGGCATTAACGATATCGAAAATGAAGGAATATATATTTCCGATGCTTCTGGGAATGTAGCTCCATTTCTGAAATGGGGTCTTGGAGATCCCGACAGCATGGAAAAGAATGAGGACTGCATTGGCGTTGTGGCTGGCGTTGCTTACAGCGCTATGGTTGATTGGCCATGTAAACTTGAGTTTCATGTCATTTGCAGTTTGGACAATACTGTTTAGTATAAATAAGAAAGAACAAGTTTGTTACAAATTTTAAAAATAACTAAATAATCCATAAATTGTAAAAACATTGTTAAAACCTTTTTTTCCCTTCAATAAACTTCTCATTTTTAGAATATTAGAATTGTTTTTTTCAATTTTTTACCCAAATATGAAAAACGTATAACTTTCTTCTACTTTTTATTTTCGATCAAAACTACAGGCAAACATTTTTTAAAAGCGATCATTTAGAGGTGGCTGTGTGTGTTGGGTGTATTGGTATTGCTTAGTTGGCGTAAAACTATTCAGTTGAACATATTTACAATTGAATTTAGTTAAATACATAAACGTAGTATGTAAAGTATAGCATAGTACATAATTATATAGTTAAGTGTGTTCTTGATTTGTGCCCTATTGCGTTTGTACTTCTAACTCTCATCCAGTGCTGCCATTTTGTCCTTTTTCCGGACAGATCCTTTTTATTAACGATTTTATCCAAAATAAATTTTAAATATCCCCGGTCCGGAAATTTGTCCCCTTTTCAAAAACAAGGTTCTTAATGTTTGCTTTGCTAGTCGTTGGTTTTGGTTGGGTTTTTATCATCAAAAAAAGAAAAACTATTCCATTTTTTCTTTTAAAACTGGTTAGATGTAATTAATTCAAACCTTCTGTATAATATTTGTCCAAAGTCCAAAAATTAGGTTTTTTGCTAACAAAAAATTTTACTTTTTAAAAAAAAAGTTTTAAGTTACAAAATAAAAAATCTCATTCAGGGGCCGGTTTTTTTATACAGAAAAATGTGCGGTAGGTTTAAAAACGATCGGTTGAGCCATAAAGAAATGCCGGCTCAATTGGAAGTTGGGATTAATTTGGAAAAGAATCAATCAATGGACAAAAACAATCGTCATACCTTCTGGATTTGAGAGGATTGGATTCCGCTACTTCTATATTGAAGAAGAAATGCAGAAAAATTGGGCAGATGCTCAAATCGCGTGTAGAGAAAAAGGAGGTTACTTAGCAGCTATCAAAGCTAACAAGCTTCGCTTGGTGTCGTAAGGGCCACTTGTTTTTACTGACCATAGTGCATCAACGTCCAAGAAAATATGTGATGCATAGCTTTATGGTGGGGTCCTTGTGGAGCATGAGCTGCCTTATTCGACCCGGAATTGACCGATTAAGGACATTTTTAATTATCGGGTCCTTTGCACCAGAGGTTCCAGATTTACAACTAGTGTTAAAGGCGGGACTTAGGAAAGACTGTTGATAACTTTTTACCTTTCTTCCGTTTTGAGCGGTAAAAACGGCAAAGTATATTGCGTTTTTTGGAATTCCCTATAAGAAAAAATAACATCGTTTTCAAATTCCCAGAATCAAATCTAAATAATATATTGTGGACTTGTTCTTATTAATTTTAGTGAAAGCGCGCTGCTATAAATTTTTATTTATTTAATTTTTTTTTTTGATTTTTTGGAATGTTTTTTATGTTTGCATATTTGTATACTTCTATATATTATATTGTTGTTTTCTTTTTTACGGCTTTAAATTTCCCGGGAACCATAAAGTTGTTGTCCGAAAAAATTTATTGAATTCTTCGAATGTTATCATTTATTTCAATTTAATCGCGTTTACTGTACACATGTATGCTTGGGAAACCTATATAAAAAGTCGGCGAATATACTCCAAATCAGTTTTTTTGTTCTGAGCTCACGAAATGCACAACTTTGCTGCCTTTTTTCTCTACGCCTTTGTTGCGTGCAATATTTACGGACTAGTTAAATCCGAATCAGAGGATGATACTGGTTTCGTTTATATTCCGAAGGATTCCCCATCCCGAGAGCTCCAACCTCTGCAAAATAGTATTCAATTTCTCCAGAAGCAATTGAAGTTACAAATAACAACGCAGAAAACAACACTGGCGATTCTGGACACCATGCAAAAAAATACCCAGGAGAAACTAGAAGCCATTCAAAGGGAAGTGCTTAAGAGTCTTGAACAAATGAAAAACGAAACTAATGAAAGACTGGATAGAATTGAGGACATGCTGGAGAGAAGACCGCTGGTGACTGAGGCACCGAGAACGAATACCATCCCGAAAGGATTTGAGAAGATAGGATCCCGGTACTTTTATATTGAAGAAGAAATTAAAAAAAATTGGATTGATGCCCAATTCAACTGCCGGGAAAAAGGAGGTTACTTGGCAGCCATCCAAGATCCAGAGGAATTTGAGGCTCTAATATCGAAACTCAGCAAAGACAATCGTTACTGGCTGGGCATTAACGATAGAGACTATGAGGGAGCATATGTTTCTGTGGCCTCTGGGAATGCAGCTCCATTTCTGAAGTGGATTTCTGGAGATCCCGACAACAGGGATAACTATGAGAACTGCGTGGGAGTGGCCTACGGCAGCGGAATGGCTGATTGGCCATGTAGATTTGCTTTTAATTTCATTTGCAGTTTGGACAATACTGTCTAGTATAAATAAAGGAAAAGTAACATATTACCAATTTCAAAAGTAAACAAATAATCAAAAATGTTTAAGAAAGTAGTCTATCAGTTTTAAAGCTATCGCGATTAATCTGGAAAGTCTTCTTTCTAATGCAGGTAGTACATATGTCGAAACTGTATCTTATGGCTCGCTTAGGAATACTCGAAAAAATTATATAAAAAATTGTGTAATATATAAATTTGTATAATGTAGATATTTTAATTGTAACAAATTTAAAACCACAATTTAAATAGGCAATAGAATCCTCGGAACTAAACCTAGGTACTAGGAAAATGAAATAAATCTACCTTACCTAGGTATTTATTTTGCCCAACACCCTTACCTTACCTTAGGTATTTTACTTAAAATAAATCCTAGGCAAATGTGCACTTGAAAAACCCAGTTAAACAGGAATGTCCGCGTGGGTCATAAGATAATCTTATCTTAAAATATTGTATCCTGAACATGGATTGACCTGAGAAGGGTAAGATATCCTAGGCCCACAAGCTAAAGCCAATTTGGACCTGAAAAACCCAAAGATGATGCGTGACAAAGATGAAAGATATTTTAGATAAATAAGACGAACATAAATACGGTTAATTCAGCTGAAGAACAATCAGTTCGTTTGCGCCCTTTGCCACGAATTGTTATACGCGATCAATATGTTGAGACTGGGCATTTATTGGTCCATCGCGATTATTGCCTGTACTCTATGTTGGGTGCAGGCAAAACCTTTGGAAGGCGAAAGTTCTAGGATGCAGGGTAAGATCGAAATACATGAATTTTTTCTGAAGTATTATATTTTAAAAATCAAATCCTTTCAGAGAACAGCGAGGAAAAAATAATCGCGTTGCAAAATCAACAGGCGGACATCCAGAAGACACTGGAATCGCAACTGGAATCACAGACCAATCTGGAAAAGGATCAGAGGTCCTTAATGGAAACTTTTAAGAAAATCATCCCCGAAAATTATACGGAGAAGCTGGCCAAAATGGAAGAACAGCAAACATCCTTACAGGAAACTCTTAACAAAATTTCATTTGACTTGGAAACTTCAACGAAAATTCCTGTTGGCTTTGAGGAGAGACTTAGCCAGATGGAGGATTACCAAAAGGCAGTTGGGAGTCAATTAGAAACTCAGATCAACTTGGCAAAGGATCAGAAATCCCATCTGGAAGCCTTAAATAAATCCATACCAGAAAGGCTGATCCAGATGGAGGAACAGCTAACATCATTACAGAAAACGTTAACGTTAATTCCAGAGGACTTCGAAAGCAGACTGGAAACGATAGAAACAAATACGAAGGATATTCTGAGCAAGATGGAGATTCAACAAGTCAAAAAAATTATGGATCAGAAAACCCAGCTGGAAACTTTGACGAACACCGTCTTGGAAACTTCAAAGAAAATTCCAGTTGACTTTAAGGAGAGACTGAGCCGGATGGAGTATCATCAAAAGGCAGTTGGGACTCAATTAGAAACTCAGATCATCTTGGCAAAGGATCAGAAATCCCAGCTGGAAGCTATAAATAAATACATACCAGAAAACTTCCAAGAAAGGCTAATGAAGATGGAGGAACAGCAAACATCTTTACAGGAAACATTAAAGAAAGTTCCAGAGGACTTTAAAAGCAGTCTGGAAACGATAGAAAAATATCAGAAGGATATTCTGAGAAAGATGGAGATTCAGCAAGTCAGTTTTGACACTCGCAAAATTAAAATCTTTACAAATCAATTAATCGCAGTGCAAAATCAACAGGCGGACATCCAGAAGTCAATTAAGGACTTGGTGGAGAGAAGGCAGGTGGAGACTGAGGCACCGAAAACAATCGTCATACCTTCTGGATTTAAGAAGATTGGATCCCGCTACTTCTATATTGAAGAAGGAATGGAGAAAAACTGGGCAGATGCTCAAATCGCGTGTAGAGAAAAGGGAGGTTACTTAGCAGCTATCAAAGATCAAGAGGAATTTGATGCCCTTTTACTGAAACTCAGCGATAGCAATCGTTACTGGCTGGGCATTAACGATATAAACGATGAAGAAGTCTATATATCCGATGCATCTGGAAATAAAGCTCCATTTCTGAAGTGGTTTCCTGGAGATCCCGACAACAGAGGTAATAATGAGAACTGCGTAGGCGTTTATCTTGGGATTAACCAGGGTATGGCCGATTGGCCATGTAGATCTAATTACAATTTTATTTGCAGTCTAGACAATACAGTTTAGTTGAAATCAAAAATAATATAAATCAATTAATACAAATTCCGAAAAAAAATAAATAACATTGTTTAAACAGAAAATTGTATACCAAAATAAAAGTAAATTTCTCGGAAAATGTAAATTTTAGTAGTCAATGCTATAATATTGTATAATTTGATGTATAAGTTTTTGGTGGGGTCCTTGTGGAGCATGACCTGCCTTTATTCGACCCGGAATTTACCGTCTAAGGACATTTTTAGTTATCGGCTGACCCTTGCATCAGAGGTACCAGATTTACTGTTGTTAACTTTTTTACCTTTCTCCCGTTTATTTTGGCAATTCCCTTAAAAGAAAATTTGTCATCATCGATTTCCCAGAATCATTATTAATTTTAGTGAAAGCGAGCTGCTATTAATTTTTATTTAGGTGCTGTCCATATATTACGTTATCATCTGGGGGATCAAAAATCACCAAAAATGTGATTACGTAATTCATGCCCGGCACCTTATTTCATTTTATTTGATTTCTCAGAATGATTCTTATGCTCGCATATTTTTATATTTTCTATATATATACATAGGTACTTACTGTAGTTTTGTTTTTTACGATTTAAAATTTGAGGCAATAACAACATTCTTCGAATGTTATCATTTATTTTAATTTAATTGCGTTTCCAAGTAAAATATTTTGTATAAAGTTGTTGTACTTCACATATGTATACGTTTATGTATGTTTAGGCAACCTATATAAAAAGTCAGCGAATGTATACTCCAAATCAGTTTTTTGGTCTCATCTGCCTTCCGTGGTTCTAAGCTTACAAAATGCCCAAGTTCGGCATATTTTTTCTCTACGCCTTAGTTGCGTGCAATCTATACGGATTAGTTAAGTCCCAACCACAGGATACTGGTTCCGATAGAGAACACCAACCTATTCAAGGTAGTATTGAATATCTCCAGAAGCAATTGAAGCTTCAAATTACGACACAGAACACAACACTAGCGATTCTGGACTCTATGCAAAAAAATACCCAGGAAAAACTAGATGTAATTCAAAGGGAAATGACTAAGAATTTGGATCTTCTCTCCAAGCTGGAGAGTAACCCAAAAGGATTTAAGAAGATAGGATCCAGATACTTTTATATTGAAGAAGAAATTAAAAAGAATTGGATTGATGCGCAATCCGATTGCCGAGAAAAAGGAGGCTACTTGGCAGCCATCCAAGATCCAGAGGAATTTAATGCTTTAATATCGAAACTCAGCAAAGACAATCGTTACTGGCTGGGCATTAACGATAGACACCACGAGGGAATATATATTTCTGATGCCTCTGGGGGTCAAGCTCCTTTTCTGAAGTGGTATCCTGGAGATCCCGACAACAGGGAAAACTCTGAGCACTGCGTGGGAGTGGCCTACGGCAGCGGTATGGCTGATTGGCCATGTGGATTTGCTTTTAATTTCATTTGTAGTTTGGACAGTACTGTATAAAATAAATCAAAAAGAAAAAACACTATTAAAAATTTTAAAAGTAACTAAATAATCCATAAATTGTAAAAACGTTGTTAAAATTTTAATATCCCTTCAATAAACTTTTCATTTTTAGAAAATAAAAATTGTTTTTATCACTTTTATACCCAAATATTAAAAACGGATAAGTTTCGGCTTTCTTCCACTTTTTATTTTCGATCAAAACTACAGGCAAACATTTTTAAGAAGCGATCATTTAGAGGTGGCGGTGTGTGTTGGGTGTATTGGTATTGCTTGGTTGGCTTAAAACTATCCAGTTGAACATATTTACAATTGAATTTAGTTAAATACATAAACGTAGTATGTAAAGTATAGCATAGCATATAGTATATATATAGTTAAGTGTGTGCTTGATGTGTGCCCTATTGCGTGCAAATGTCCTAAAAAGCATTTGTACTTCTAACTCTCATCCTTCGTTAGCAACATTTCAACACTTAAGTACTAGAAAAATATTAAAGACATCTTTTATACGCTCCGATTTTTTGGTTGATCTTAGTTACTTGTTTTCCTTTTTTTTTGGGTTTGTGTTCCTCTGCATCTTGTTTCTGTTTCTGATTCTTTTTCCGTTTCCATTACTCGTTTAAGGCACATGACACATTCCTGAATATGATGTGCGTTTCTGATAGCAGTAAATATTAGTTATAACACTTTAAAACTATTGACTACACAATGATTTGAAATTCATCCGCCAGTTTGCGTTGGAATTTGTGCTCCACATTTTCGGGTGAAAAACTTCTTCGACAGAACAGAAATTCTAAATTCTACAATGCATGTTGACCAGCAAATGACAAAAAATAGTGCGAAAATCGCAGTAAACAGAAAATTGTACACCAAAATAAAAGTAAATTTCTCGGAAATGTTTTCGCGCATCTTCATAATAGATCGTTGAGATCCTCCTTATATAGATCATGATAGCTCGCCGATGGGAGCATTCTGCAGCCACAGATCGTGAATGAAGTTGTACAGATTATCGCTGACGGCCACCTGAAAGGGATTGCAGAGAAAGTTATAACAATTTTTGGAATATAAATTATAAATTAATCACCTTATAGGGCGTTGGGTTGAGCGTGCGCTTGTGATCATTGCGCAGCGTCTTCAGCGAGATTTGCACCTTCTCGCGCACCTGCTCCAAGGTGGGCAGCTGCTGGCAGATCTTGCCCGACTTCCAGTACACCTTGTACAGCGACTCCACGTGCGAGGGTATTACGTACGCGCGCTTCGACTCCTGGAAGGGATGGCGGCACAGCACCTTCTGTCCCACCGCCGGCGGTGGCTCCGACACCTTTTGCAGCAGATCGATCAGGGCGTGGCCATCGGCGCTGTACAGCCGATAGGCATTCTTATTGCCCGGCATCGTCACCTTCTCCACGTCCTGACTTAGCTTGATCCTCGGCTGGCCATTGATCTCCACCAGCTTGTACACACATCCCAGGGCCGGTTGTCGTTGGCAAGTAACTGGAAATTATAATAATTAATAATCTTCTGTACAAATAAAACAATCATCTAAAATTTTAGTGATCAAGGCCAAAATTCGATATGAAATATGTTCAATTTTACTTTATTTCATATCAATAAAAATTCGATATGATTTATGTCAAATTTATGATGTAATCATATCAACGTGATATTTTTTCATAACATATAAAATACCAAATGTAGTACTTTTGGAACTAATAAGGATAAAAGAAGATAAATGTTATATTTATGCATGTCAAAATAATATGAATAACTTGATCTTAAAAAAATATGAAATTGACGAGCACATATCAATCTGATCTTTCGTCAAGTACGGTAAAAAAAAAGATAAACATAATCTTTATGCATATTTAAAAAATCTTCAAAAAATATAAAATTGACAAGCACATATCAATATGATATTTTGTCAATTTTTTTTATTTTTAGTAAAGACATATTTTTACGCCATTTTCTTACTATATTTTACATTTTAGGTAGGAAGTTTTTACCTTAAATGAACCCAATCAGCTTCAAATAAATATTTTAAAATTAATAATAAACATATCACCACTCACCCAAATGCGTGCCAATGCCAAAGCAATCGATCTTATGCCCCTGCTCATTCAGGCTGAGAATGGTGTCCTCGTTGATGTCGTTCGATGCCACAATGGTCAGCTTGTTGAACCACGGAACCTTGAATCGCTCCGCCACCTTCTCGAAGGTCTCCCGCGCCAAGCAGGACAAATAGGCCAGATCCCCGGAATCGATCCTGATGCCCAGTGCATGGTAGCCCAAGTCGTTTAGGGCCAAAGCCACGGCACTGAAATTCAGCAGACCACTCCTACAGAGAAGAAAATATAATAAGATATTCAGTAATCACATTCATAGACCCCATCAAGTGCTGCTTGGTTTTTGGTTTTCAATTCAACAAAAATATTTCTCTCATTTTGCTATACAATATTGGATTTTTTTTGCCACTAAGTTCAAAGCGAGAATTACACAAGAAACAAATGTTTTCGAAAGTGGGGGGTGGAGCTAAGAAAAACGTGTTCGAGAACCATAAAATTGGTTCTTTTCGATTTGCTAGTGCGGCTTTTGGTGTTGGAAAATTCAGCCTGGGAAAATTTGATCATTTTCTTTTTGGGGAGCAGCACAAAATGTCGAAGATTTTCGGTTTTTGTTCTTAAGCCATGCAGTGTGCTCTCTCGGACGCTTTTTTTTTAAGTATGTACAGGTTAAAAAACTAACGAAAAGTATATCCAAAGACATTTGTTGGTTGGAAAAAAAATTTCAGAATGAGGAGAAAATATTTAACAATACAAAAACGGGGGGGACAGAAAAACAGGAAAATTAAAGTCCGAAAAAATGTTGAAAAACTGGAAAACCAAATTGTTTGTGAATTAGGGACGAGGACACTTAAGACGGGGTTAGGTCTATGACAGCATTAGGGTGATTCAGTGCGTGTTTTCGTTTCTGTTTTTGGTTTCGTTTATGTGCTTAAAACAATGTTGAACAATTGAAACATTTAGAATTATTCAAGGAAATATTTTACTTTACGTCTCTTAAAATGTATCCAAGAAATCGAATTAAACTTTTCATAATATTATATTATTTAGTTTTTTAGTAAACTCTTTTAATTGTTTTATGCACTTTGTTATGTGTGAACTTTGGGATCGCTTATCATTTATGCATGAATTGTTGTTTGTTGTTGCCGTAATTGTTGCTTTCGAGTGGGTGAGTATTTATGCCATATGATATTATAGTGTTGTCGCATATATCATGTTGTTTGGGATTCTTGTAACTTGAAGACGTGTGTTTTACATACCTCTGCCAAAATAGTGCCGGAAGTCATTTGTTTACTATGTTAGGTTCGTAAATTCATTTCATTTTGGATCTTTTGTTTTTTTATGGTTTTCTGATTCGGGTTCGATTAATGATTTCGTTTTTATTGGTTTCACATTCACATTTAGGACGAGAAAATAAAAAGCATAAAAAACATAATTGAGTTAGGAAAATAATGATAAACGGAAAAATGTAATATGATAATTGCGTGTGTTAGTGAAGAAAAAGTGATGCCCAAAAATACACAGAAGAAAAAGTTAGGAAAGCAAGAGGGGGGAAAAGCAAACCAAAAAGTAATTTAATAAATTGACTTCACCTGTTCTGGTTGGGTTCATTGTTTTAATCTTTTGCCAGAATTATTCCCCCTTTTTTGGGGAATCGACTTGATGACCAATTTCGTAACACCAAAGCAGAGGACACATACATATATCAGCTTAAATATACACATATATAGGCATGTATATGATGGTTATAATTTTGAATTTAGCTTCTAAATTTTAGTTTGATATTTCTCCATGATAACATGCAGGCTTATATTAAGTGAACTCAAAAATGTAGAGCATTTAATGGTAGATTAATAGTAGAGATGGTAACAAAAATCGATTCTTTTAGTAATATATGTATGACATAAAGTAATGATAGCTTAAATGAGCGGTAAGGTTAGAAGGGAAAGCTTTCAAAAAGCAGAAGAAAAATGTTGTTAAAAATGAGGATATAAGGTCAGTTAAAATGACAATGGAAAGATAGACAAAATAAATTCCTTTAAATTTAATTATCGCCTATATTTCGGGCATTTCTTTTAATCAAACGTCTTTTTGTTTTCGATAGCGACATTTACCTGAATGACTTCTCGACATATTTTGGTAGGTATGCCGTCCCATTGGACACTGTTGTTGTTGTCTTTAAAGTTGCTGTTGTTGTAGTGGCTGTTGCTGTAGTTGTTGTGCTGGTTTTAGTATCTTGTATCTTTGTATCTGTTGGCGATCTACTGCCATTACTCTGAGCAATACCATTCTGATGGCCATTGGTCTTGAGTCCATTTTTTTGGCCGTTTACATTACTACTCTGACCATTTTGTTGGCCATTGGTTGATGGCTTTGGCTTTGTCTTTGGCGGACTGTTCTCAGACTTGATATCACTATTGATAGTCTTGGGTTCTGTGTTGGCTTGTTCTGTTTCTCGGCTGTTGGATAATACTTTGGATTATTACTCAAACGAAAGACCAAAAATAAAAGCTCACAGTAAGAAATGATTTTGGGGAAGGGTAGGAATGGGTGGCAGAAATAAACATTTTGGGATATTATCTATGGTTAAAACTTGTTGACTTGGTTAGGCTGTTTAATAGTTACTCTTGTTTTTGGGTATTTTTATCTGGCTGGTGCACGTCTCGAGAGTCTCAAATACAATACAAAAAATATAGATCAAAAGAAATCCATACTCAAAATAACAGGGATAAAAAGGGCAAAGGGGTAGTTACAACACAAACGAGGGATAAAAACCGATAACTAAAACCGTTCCGAGAGAATCTGCCTAGAAGCGAAATACCTCTTAACATCGTACGTATCGACAAGGGCCATGAACCCGTCGGGAAAGGCGATGGCATATGATACCATCGCCGCCAGTTCTCCCTCGCTGGACTCCTCAGTGGACACGTCCAGGAGATG